GCATATTTCCACATTGTATTGCTTTTCTTAAGCTTGACAGATTCGTGGAGCAGCGCAAGAAAAACGTCTCATTTGCCCCCGTCCTTTCTTAAAATGCAGGGAAAACAGCAACGCGACACACACCGGGTGGCTAAGCAGGCTTTCTGATGCCTGCTGGTGATGTGGTGTTTGTGCCTGCTCAGTTTTGTGCTAGATGTTGTCCCCCCATGCTTGTTCCCCCCATGTCTTCCCAGAACAAGGCAGTCTAGGGCCGGCTCAGTGGTCACTCTGTTTAATTCACCTGCCGGCTAGCCCAGTTCCTGGTGATTTAGCACACAGTGTTTGAGCGAGAGAGCGAGGCGGCTTCTTCTGCATTGACATTTTCAGCTCCTTCCTCCTGTACCATCTCAGCTAATTTTAGCAAACAGGTCTGACACCCACATCTGGTTTCCTACCTCAGGAACCTTTTGGATTGAAGACGTCCCCACACCCCACTGCTTCCCTGCTCTCACTTTTAATTTACAGGCGGCGTGGAGCACAAGGCAGGCTGGTTAATGAAAAAACCCAGACAAAAACTTCAGGAAAAGAAACAGCAGGTCCCCGAGGCTCAGAGGCAGTGAAGTCCGGAGAGCAGGCTGTGGTTTATAATGCTCACATGCTCTTTCGGGAGATTACCGAGCGATCATAAAAAAGAAATCAGAATGGAGAAATAGAATGGTGCACACAGGCGGCCTTAAATTACGGGCCCGTTTATTTGCTTGTTCAGCGCTTTTCTGGGAATGCAGCAATCAATAGAAAAAATAGGCAATAACCATCAAAACAAACACTGGGAGACATCTCACAGCCAAGTTCCGCAGCTCAGCAGCTCAATCCGCTCGGCTCCCCAGAGACTCGGCACCGCTGTTCTTCCGGAGCTCTCTCTCCGCCAGGCAGCTCTCCGGCGGCAGGCGGGGACAGGTGTCAGGGACATGGGCTGTGTCTGGGTATTTCACCAGCCACTGACAGCCCCGGTCTCCCTGCGGAGCGGAGCGGGCTTTTACTCCCGACGTGAGCTGTGCGGACTCGGCCACTGCAAATGCCGGGCATTGAAATTCTCTATCCCAGAGCAGCTCGGAGTAGGATACCTCCTCCTGCCCTTATCGCACAAGGAGAAAGAGACTCGGAGAGGTGTCTAATGCCTTCATCGCTGAAGGCAGAGTTCTACTATCTACAAGACTGGAGCAGAAGAGTGGTGTCACACTAACAGTGCAGACTGGAGCAGAAGAGTGGTGTCACACTAACAGTGCAGACTGGAGCAGAAGAGTGGTTTCACACTAACAGTGCAGACTGGAGCAGAAGAGTGGTTTCACACTAACAGTGCAGACTGGAGCAGAAGAGTGGTTTTACACT